TTTTTTTGTGAGTTATTTTATAGTCCATGGTGAAGTACTGAAATAAACATAACATGTTTCATACAAAAATTTCATGTAAACTCTTGACGTCGATCTAGCAAATCTTCTGACATCACAGTATAAAAAGAGTGGTATTCAAAAAGGGTAATCTCCAGTATCCAATACGTATGCAATGAGATGCTCGTCCAGAGGGTGTTTCAAAATGGTAGCCGAGTTAACATTTGGGATTGGCATTTGGAGAATGTTGCTGATTCTAGACTCTCCTAGAATGTGAATCAGAATATTAGTTAAATTTCAAATCTGTATAGTTACCTCCTGAATATTATTGTTCTGTTTCAGATCATTTTGCAACTGTTTCTCCTCTATGTCTCTTTGAATGCAATAATAAGGTTTACAACAATCAGATGAAACTTCCCGAAGAACAGAACACAAAGTTAAAGCTATTTTACAACTCAGTGTGTTGTAATCATAGCCTGGCTACACCAACTTTAGTGCTCTTAGTTATTTTTTTGTAACTGTAAATGCTAATTCTTTAAACTTGGTAACTAAGTTTGTCTCATCTTACACAGCTGCCCTTTGGGAGCTAGGATAACTTGGATGTTACTTTTGTTTTCTGTTTTCCAGCTTCTAAACTGTGAGCTTAGCCTAAGCAGCTTCTTTTAGGATTATTTGTTTTTCATTTGTGGGCAATGAAATCATCATATTTAAACTAAATCTGTATTTTTGCTAAATACCCAGCAATACTCTGTATTTTAACTCATTGTTATAGTTGTGCTTTTTTTTTTTTTTTGTCATGTAACCAATTTGTATTAATGGAGGTTACTGAAAACAGTTGCTTGCAATTTTCTGTACTATGCTTAAATATTTTAACTCTCAAAACAATCAAAATGATCTCAATTTTTCCTCTACTTACAGCGCTTTATCCAGTATCTTGCGTCCCGAAACACATTGTTCAATCTTAATAACTACCTAGACAAAAGTGCCATGCAGGGTAAGGATCCTTCACTGAAGGAAACAACTTTACTGTTGTGTGTGTGTGTTTCTTTTTCTTTTTTTTTTTTTTCTTTTTTTTTTTCCTTTTTTCTTCTGTTCAGTGCTAGTAGCTGTGTCACTGCATGCTAAGAGACAAATTATTCCAATATAAAAATGGTATTATGCATTAGTCACCAGAAATCTTAGAAGATGTAAGAAACAGAGAGCGTGAGTTGCTGAGTTACCAGGTTGAGTTCTGGAAACTTATCAATAGCATATGTATTGTGTGTTTACAAGGCTATAAATTAAAGAGCGCTCTTAAGCTGCCTAGAATAAACCTGATGAACATTAGCACACTGATTTATTTTGCCATTGCGTTTTAATGTTTGAGGAGTAAATACAAACTTCTGAGATGTATGGAATAGTAAATGAATTTGCTGTATAGATAATGAAGATTCATTCATATTCCTGAGAGGGTTGCTGGTTACTTGCCCCGGCCTTCATGTGGGTTTTGGGGAACTGCATTTAAGTTAGTGAAGTCTTCAGTGTTTTGTCACAAATATATTTCCAGTGTGATATCTAGAACACGTAGCAAGAGCTGCTTGGTAATTGCATAGTAAGAGAAATGGCCTACAGCATTTAAAAAAAAAAAATTTTTTTAGTCTTAGCAAGTTGGGAAGAATGTATCTGTAACATTGCATCTCAAAGTGAAAACAGTGATGCCCAATACTCTGGAATGTACCTGTGTCTATGGAGATTGAAAAATAGATAAGTAAGAGAACAGCACTGGAAAAGGATGTGAAGCCTACTTGAAAATGTCTAACCTAAAAATGCTTCATTTTTAGGCTATGATATGTCTACCTTCATTAGGCGGCATAGCAGATACTTGAATGAAAAAGCACTTTCATATAGACTTGTAGCAGTTGACTTCACCAAAATGAAAAGAGGGTAAGACTGTTAATGCTTCCCCCTGCCTCCTTTCCCCTTGGTATTAGGAGAAAATGCCAATTGTCCTTAAGCTTGTCATGTGCTGGTTGATTATGACCCTGAAATTAATATAACACTGCTGAAGCAACATAATATGCTGAAAGTTCTTGGTAAACAGCAAATCTGTGTTTCCAACTCTGTAGGATAGATGGAGTGATGAGAACCATGAATGCTGAAAAGCTTCTGAAAACCCTTCCAATCATACAGAATCAGCTTGATGCGCTCCTTGATTTTGATGTAAGTACGTTACTTGTTAGATAACATTTGTTTTGAGACAAGGTCTTTATTTAATACTAATTTACTATTTCTTTGCTTTCTACACAGGCAAATCCAAATGAACTAACAAATGGTGTTATAAATGCTGCCTTCATGCTACTCTTTAAAGATTCCATTAGACTTTTTGCAGCATACAATGAGGGGATTATTAATCTTTTAGGTATGTGTATGTGTTTTTTTTTCTGTTTAATCTTTGAACTTTTGTTGGAGCTATTGACAGAAGTAAAAAATGTAAACAGCTTGACTAATTTCGTAACACACTGCTCACATTCACTACCATTAAGTTTAGTCCTTAATAGTCTCAGTGACAAGAAGCTTAGCTCAAGCATATATAAGCATATATATATATATTTTAATCATGTGGGTTGATGTGAACCACTCTGAAATAAAAACAGATAAAAATATCACAAATTTGCAGTGAATACCCTTTGCAATTGTACTGTAAAAGTATTAGTGAGGTATCTTGGTTGGTTTCCTGAAACTCGGATGTTTGCAGGCCTGTCATAGACAGGACCGTTACTTATTTTTGTATGTTTAGTGTAGACACGGCATGATTAATTTCTACTTTCCTATACTTTCTTTATTAATTTAGTTTTAGCCAGTTTCTGAATCTACATGAGCACAGTACATAAAAGGGTATAGGCTTCACCCCTACTCCCCACGAGCTTGGTATACTCTTAGCAAAAATTTTACAATGAAGATTTTTTCAAGCAAATTTCTGAATTAATTGTTTTTCTGATCGATTTATTTCCCAGTCCGTTAACCTTGACTTGGTGAAATATCTACAAATATATAGAGCAAAAACATAAGAAGTGTGAAAAGGACTGGCACCTGCATTCTTCCTGTCATTAAGTTTGGGTACCACTTCAGTTGTTCTTATGTCTCTTGGCTATTGTGCCCAAAGCATGATGATATGGGTCTAAAAATGTAAATAAATTCCAGGAATATTTTCCAACAATAGAATAACTTGCTTTATTGCTAGCTAATCAGTTGACTTAAAAATTTTCCCTCAAATACCTAATTAAACCTCATTCACATCCATGCTTAATAAAGCTTTGCATCATATTCTAGTATATTGAAAGAAGAAAAGCAGTAGTCGTCTTTTCAGCAATTTATTCTAAAATATGAGATATTCATGACCATTTTGAAAATCAAATAACTTTAATAGTCTACTTTCTCCCTGAAGCTTGTCTCGTGTTAACATTTATAATTCTCTGTCTGAAACTTTTTGCCAGGGAGGCTATTAACTTACAATATATTTCTTTTTATTTATTTTTATTCGCATCCTTAGAAAAATATTTTGATATGAAGAAGAACCAATGCAAAGAAGGCTTGGATATTTACAAAAAATTTCTAGCCAGAATGACCAAATTGTCAGAATTCCTCAAAGTAGCAGAGGTAAATAAATCTACACCTATGCAATGGGTATCACTCGGTCATCTGTTCTGGTACAGTAATACATATTCATAATCATGTAACTTCAAAACAGTTGTCTCTTTGCTTAACTGTACTATATGAAAGCAGTATTTTACAGATTGGGTATTTAAAACTTTGTTTATGGTCATTAAGTGAAGTGATGTTCTAAGGCATCTTTTTATTTGTCAGACAGCATAAACTTTTTTGTCTGAATTTGAGTAATGTGAAATGAATGGACTGATTGTTAGTGTTTTTTATAGCACTCTTTTACTTCCTCTTTTTAGGGAAGAAATTCTAAGCAATGGGATTATTTCTAAAACTTCCATTAACCTTTTTTTTTTTTCGCATGAAAAAGATGCAATGCAATGTATTTTAGATTTCTAAGGTATGCTTTTAGCTTAGTGCTATCAATTTAGGAAGTTAGAAATATCCCTTTTTAATATTTTAGTTTCTATGTAAAATTCAGATCTCCCAGTTCGTTTTCATTGCTGCTACATTGCATGTTAACCTGTATTTTTTTCTCTCTCTCTCTCTCTCTTTTTTTTTTTTTTTTTAAATAACTCAGCAAGTTGGAATTGATCAGGGTGACATTCCAGATCTTACTCAGGTCAGTGTACGTTTCATATTGATTTAACCCAATTTGTCCTTTGTTTTTTAAAGGTTTGTGTGCATCATAATCGGCCTTCATCTTGGGAATGTGTTCGTCCATACATTTCTGCAGGAAGTATTGTTAACTCACAATAGTGCACAAACCAAAGTTTTTCATTCATAAGAATGCTGTGTTTCCAACCTAGCATCAACCTCAAAAGACCAGGGATATTTGGTGTCCTTTTAGTAGTGTTGAAAAACCTGCGTGGTAGAATAGGTGACAATCGGTCAGGAGTGCCATATAGTTTTAGAGTACTTGGTCTGATGAAGTGGGCTTCGTGTGAAACAGTTCCTCTAGTGAGTAAATTTTCGTGATCTGTAATATCTAATTCCATGCTATCTTCATGAAACTAAATTTCAAAGATCAATCATGTAAATATATCTTTTTGAGAAGATTTGCCTGAATTTAATTCCTTGTGTCTTTTTAATATGAAGTTAAATCTGAACACTCCTCGCTTTTCATTTTTGTTCTATGATACAGCTTGCATCTCAAATTGTGTTTGCTTACTAAGTACCAATCTCTAATAACTGCTCTAGCAATTAATTTGGTATTAAAGTTTTTTTTCAAGTACTTCCCAGCCTTTGCACTAGGAAAGAACAATGACTATAGCCAGCAGGATTAGGAGTAGTGATGTTCTCTATTACCGTTAGTACGATGCTAACAGCTACTCAATCTCAGTTGTCTTCTAAATCAGCACTGCCTGTTCAGCTGTTGTCTGTACTATGCTAATGAAATTATACTTATGTCTGAGCTAACATTTTCACAGTTGGTGTTGGCTTCAGTGTAGGGTTTGTGTCCTCTTGGCCTGTTAGCCAGGTCATTATAAGGTTCCTCAATGCATGAAGCATTTCTTGATTTGCTAAGAATAGGTGACCTTTTTGTTGCCTTTTTTTTTTTTTTCCTCATTTAGTCTGCAGCTCTTGCATCCCTACATTTCTTCCAATGGTTCAGCTATTTTGTTGTAAGTGTGGTTAGACATGCAAGCCAACTCTGACCTTCTGTGTATTTTGGCAGTTCAGTGCCACTGTCAGTCAAGTATTCAATGGCACTGAAGAGATGAATAATTGTAAGTCAACTTTGTGTCATTTTAAAACAACTTTCTAAAATTTCGTAATACCAGGCATTCAAAACAGCTTTAGTTTTCAACGAGCTTGTGGTCCAGATGCGAGTTATGATAGGATCATGGACAGGAAATTACAATGGCTATCCTTTGTTCAAATTCAGGTCTGTAATTTGACCATGGTATCTCTGATTATGGTAAATAATACGATATTATGTATATGTATTTTTAAATGCCTAGTTGCTTAGATTTCTGTTGTGTATTTTGTTCAGGGAGAGACAGCTTTCAGAGTTTCTTTAAAGTGTGTGCTTACTTTTATATAACTTTTTCTTTACTGATTCTGACAAATATTCACACTCTTCACTGCCAGGGTTCATTTTCTGTGTTCTTAAAGTGTTCTGAAACTATCACAAGTATCTTAATGTTGTCGTCCTCCCCAATTATTTAGTCATCTTATTTCTCTTTAATTTTCATCTGAGGTAGTCCTAATCAGTTTCCAAAAACTTAGCAAAATCTTTATTATTTTACCTGGCTGTAAAAGACTTGGAGCTTAGCTGTTCATACAGATGCTGCTATTGTTGCTGATCCTTACCTAGGAAGGACAGTCCTTGATATCCTGGCTGGCAATGACACTGTCTATTTTCTACTAGTTGTTACACCGAATATAGTATACTGAAATGCAGTATTTCAGTTGTTATTGTATTTCACTTTCTCCTCTATGGGTGTCTGTCAGATGTATTTATGGGTGTGTGTGTGTGTGTTGTTCACTTGTTTGTTTGTTTCTTCTTTTCTAATGTTTTGTTGGATGTGCATAGCAATGAGAGTGTGGAGAAAGACATGCCTTTCAAATTGCCTTTCAACTGGATAATGCAGTTACAGAGAAGCTGTTGGTCTCTCCTCTTTTTTTCCCCTCCCCCTTAAACTCCCTAAAATGTAGAACATGTTTTTCCATACAGATAGGTTTTAATGTTATCATGAAAGGAAATAAGAAACCAGAAAACTTTTCCAGAGTTGGAGTACAGTTCCCTGCTACTGAAATTATCTATGTAGTTCCATTATGTAATGTCTACTGCAAACTTGCATTTCTCTTGAGATGTAAAAAGTTTTTTGGGGGTCCTTGGTTTCTTTCTAAAAAAGATCCTTCAAAATGTGGTTCCCTTGGTGGTTTAGCTGTCCAGTTTGTAGGCTCAGTTTATTCATGTCCAGTTGTGGTAACAACACTGTCTTCTAGCTTATGTAGCTCTATTTATGGAAAGAAGCATCAACTCAGACCTTTAAGCCAAGCAGTTTTATAGGATTATTCTAATTGCCTTTCTTTGCCTTTCTTTGCATCTCTTGTAGCTTGAATCTGGCTTCATTGAATGTTAGAAGCTGGAATTGCACTTTGTGCTCCAGATGGGGAGTTGCCAAAGCCTTGTCCGATTATTAATTTTGCTCTTTTAGGACATACACTGATTGGGTTTTTAGACAGAAGGGCCAGCAAGGGTAGCTTTGTTTTCTCTTTTGAATGACGCTTATCATATTTATGCGACCTACTGAAAGTTGGCAAGTGAATAGAGGTTTAGCGTCTCTGAAACCCTGCCAGTGGATGAGGACTGAGGTGGCAAGTAGATTAAAACTTAAGAGATCTATTTCCTTCATCTGAATCCGCTATAGACTTTAATTCACTCGTTCTATGGAACAGGGCCTATGTAGCTCAAAGACATGAGTAATGTGGCTGAAACAGCAAGGCAGTAAACTCTTTGAACAGTGCCAGCTTAATTGCTTTGCCTTTTGGAGAGTTTATTTTTGTGAGGGTGACTTGGAGAAATATTATTAACTACTAACATGTAATCAAGTTCATTTCAAATTTATTCTGAGCTGTTTTTCCTGGTAGGGAAGAAATAATTTGAAGAGTGGGTACAAATATATGGCAGAAAGGAAGTATGTTGCGATTGGCAGTGTTTTGTTTTTTTTTTTTTTTTTTGAACTTAATCAGTTAGTGTTCTTTAGTCTCTTTTAAACATGTTCTTTGTTAGCCATCAGTAGTTAAGATTTCTTATGTGTTGAATAGTATCATATCTGTGCTCTCAAAAGACTCTGTAAGCTCTTGTACTGCATTGTTTGCCTAAGGTTCATTTGGACGTCTCAAGTTCCAACTAAAGTCTCAAATGACATCCAAATGCCAGACTGCATGCTAGGCTTAAGTGGAGCGAAGCCTTTTTCTTTTAATCTTTTTCTCATGAGTGATGCTTTCTTGACCAAAAGCAAAAGAAAAATAAAAAGCAGAACAACAGAAACCCTAACTTGTTGTTACTTTCTAATATGTTTTATTCTACCAAAGGCCTTGGTAAGCAGAACAACAGAAACCCTAACTTGTTACTTTCTAATACGTTTTATTCTACCAAAGGCCTTGGTGAAACTGAGTGTATTGTGCAGTTGTGTCTTAAATTGCTGCTCAGTCTGTAGTATTTTGGGAATAAATCCTAGGTCAAACTTTATTCTGCTTTTATGAAAGCAGACATACTCTTGTGGTCAAATGTTTCCAGTGGAAGCCTTTGTGAAGATCTGATAGAAGGAGTTGATGACTTTTTATTGCTATGAGGGGAGGAAGGGAGAGAATGAAAATGCAAACACTTCCTCTTTAATCTAAAGGAATACTGACTGCTTTTATCTAAGCATAATAAACACTGTCTTCCCCACTTCCCACCCCAGTTCAATTTGCATACATAGAAGCAGACATTGAGAATTTTTTTCCTTTAAATTGATAGATGGGAAACTGATCTGTGTGCTAAACAATTATAATGTTTTGTCTAGAAGGAATGTTTTATGAGTGCTTTAACTTTAGGCACCCAGCAGCTTGCTTGAAGCCTTGGAGCAGCATTTGGCTTCTCTGGAAGGAAAGAAAACAAAAGAAGTCTCTGCTGCCAGCAGGTGAGCACCAAATGAATGGTAATGATGTATGTTTATGTAGGTTTATGTAAGTTTTGGCTTCTCGTTAAGCTGCTTCTGTGCTCAGCCATTTGAGGTTCTCTTGGGTTTTATCCACTTAAGAGTGAGTCTTTGGGTATAAATGAAGCATAAATTAAGTAAATTTCTAGGAATTTAATCATACTTGATGAGTGGATATCCATTGTGTTTCTTTGTCAGACTTTTTACTGTGCTGTAATAAACTCCTGAGCTGAGGCCTTTGTATTATTCTTTTTTTTACCTTCTACCAGTTTGAAACTCACTCTCTCTTGTAAGATTTATAAGCTATTTGTGTTTTGAGATTGCGTTTTTTTTCTCTCTTTTTAACCCAAAATAGCCTAGTGCTTATCTCTGTTGTCAGTTATAGACCTCCCAAACTCTGAATTTGACCTGTTATAAAAATTTCTAAGCCTCCTCGTCTAAGCTACCCTGGCAATTTTGAGATGTCTTATACTGACAGATATTGCATTATTTTTTCTATTAAGATGAGTATCCCTATGTATGAGTAGCACCTCTGACTTAAGAGATACTTTGTCTAACTTGAGGAAGAAATCAATTCCCTCTCTCAAATGTGGATGAATACTGAGAAGAATATAGGGACCTTCCTGGACGATTGTCTTGCGTGCCTAACTTCTCAAAAGTATCTGAGGATTTGCTTTCCACTGTACTCTGCTAAACTGTTGTGTGTGGGGAAGAACATCCGCATGTGTAGCGGGTTGTTTTTTTGTTTATTTTTTTTTGTTTTCCAGTTGTCTGTATAATACATCTTATAGGATTTCCTTGCCTCCACCACCTGAAGGAATAAAATTCTAGTCTGTATGAGCTTTAAAGTAAAAACTAAGTCGTTACACTCTGCATTTTCCCATACCTAATCACTGAAACTTGGAACATTGCCCCTTTACTGCGCTGTTACATTATGTCTCTTTCTGTACAAAAGAGTAAGAACAAAGTCAATAAAGCACTTTGTTTAAATGTTTTAAAACTTTATGTTTTAAAAGAAGTGATGTGCTAGCTGGGAGTTTTTCTTAATTTAACTTTTCAAAAAATTATTCTTGCTTTTAGAGCTAGTGCCCTATCCAGTGCTGTTTCCACACTTGCCAGCACAGGAATGTCATTTAGCAGGATGGATGAGAAAGAGAAGCAGCAGGCATTAGAGGAGGAACAAGCTAGATTGCAGGCACTAAAGGTACTATATGTTTTAAAAGATTATATTCTGAGGTTTTTTTGCTAGATGCATGTTAATGCTGAGGTTGGTTTAAGCTAAGGTGTATGGGAGGACTCAGCCTTGAGAGGCAAAAAATAAACTCCGTAGATGTGGTGGTTATCAATATATGCCAACCCTTCCACCCAGGAGCATGATTTGAAAACCTGGTATCTGAAATGGGTCGTTTGTGTTCTCCTTTTCGGGAAATGGGATTCTATATCTCAAGGATTAATGAAATGGGTATACAAGAGTTCTAGTTTTCATTGCAGTGGTTGAGCATATCATGTTGCTACCACAGGACTGTTTATTATTAGATGAGATTTCCCCCCTGCTCTTCTTTAGCCATGTGGCTCGTAATGAGAACGCAAGTTATTTTTCCTCTTAAGATCTTGATCCTGTTCCTTCTGTATTTTACCAATTTATCACTGTTTCCTGAGGAAGTGTACAGTATAATCTAGAACAAGAATAGATACTTTTTCTTTCACTGAAAGCTGAATCAAGACTGAAGAGTTAATGAATTAATGAAATAGAATTTCAAACTGTATGTCTTATCTTTCAGGAGCAACGATTAAGAGAGATTTCTGTGGTATCAAATTCCACTTCCACATCAGCATCTCCAAGCACCTTATCAGGAAAAAGTGTGAATACCACTGCAGCTGTTGACCTTTTTGCAGCACCAGCACCCACAACAAATAGGTGAGGGAGCATTTGCTTTCTGAAGCAAGCCTAAGTGACACTGGCCAGGTAGCTCTGCAGTCAAGTGCTCTCCAAATCCTCATTATGGGAAATACTCTTCACAAATAACCTTTTGCTGATGATTTCCAGGTGTCTTCACAGGGGTTTTAATCTTGCTTATTAAGAAGTGTGTAATTACTTGGTTTTGTTCTGTATCTTTATTCTTATTTGGCTTCTACTAAAAAGAAAAAAAGTGAGGTTTGCATGAGTTCGTGTATAGCACAAGAATACGATGCCTTTATGCATCTTTGTGTTCCCCTCTCTCTTTCTCTGCAGCATGCCCAACCTCTCTAGTGATCTTTTTGATCTTCAGCCTACGTTTGTTCCAACTGTACAGAGTACTCCAGCTATAGCAACATCAGCAAGCAGTGCATGGGGAGGTAAGCACATACAGGGATCTTTACTGTTTAAATGATGGGTGAATTCTTAAAATACAAGAAAAATATCTCATAATAAAACACATGTTCATGCTTAACTGAATCTGCAACTTAAACCTTAATTACTCTGTGTCCAAATATTCTTATCCTTGATAGAGTATAAAACAAGTAATATGAGAGCTCTGGCCAGATATTCCAGAGCTTTTATGTATTTTTTTAAAAAATGCATTAGAGATAGATGCAATGCATGGAATGAAGGAGGTATTCCACAAAGGGGAGGAGAAGAGTAATAGCCAAAAAGGAAAGTTCAAGTATGTTGACAAATATAGATGGTGCAGATGCAGCTGAAAAGATGATGCTGTATTAGTTTTTATTTTGAATTAAGAGATTTAATGCATTTTTCATTAAAAATATTTTTGCAACTTCACGCTCTTATTGCAAAGCTGTTTCTGGTTTCATGGGGATGGCATTCTGTATGTCTTCACTCATTCCTCCAAAGAATAATCAGGATAGGTATTAAAATACACCTTAATCTGAAATAAGGCAAGGGTAACACTGTTACAAGTATTAGTATTTTAATAGGTGAATCTAATATGCTTAAGTGCTATTTAAGACATATTCCTAAAGCCTAAAAAGTAATTCCTGACTGTTCTTCTTACTGATAAATTTTCTGGTCTTTTCCCCTTCCTACCTCATGCCTCTATTAAAATTTTGCTTTCTCTAAATAGTGAACTGTTAAGTTCTTCATTTGAAACTAAGACTTTGTTTTGTAATTGGGCTGGTCATAGGTGAAAAATCCACTGCTTAACTTCTAATTTTAGAAATTCTCATGTACAGTCATTTCAATCTATTTTTCTCTGCTACTTGTATTCTCTATTTTCTTTCCTTTACTTCTGCTTCATCTGAAAGGTCCTTTCTCGTCCTCAAATGGTTTTGTTGGTTCTCCACCTCATCTGGACATCTTTGACATGAAGCCAGTTGAAGAAGCTGTAAAATCTGTCACTCCTTTCATCAGTTCTACATTTTCCTCCAAACAAACAGTGGAATTGTTCAGTGGTAAAAAGCAAAACCAAAAAAAAGTTAATTTATTTCCAGTGGGAGATAACACTACTAATAAAGAAACTGTGGTGTATAGTCTTTGTGCTTTGAATCGACATCCAGTGTTTGCTAGCAAGGGCAAATAGTTTGTTAGTACTTGATGTATTAGCAAAAATGTGTTTCACTAAAGTTTTATTTCTGGAGTTTAAAGAATCCTTTATCTTGTTTGTCTTGCCCAAGCTAGGCATCCTTAGGGCTTCTATCTCAGATTTTTTTTTCTTTTTTTTTGTTGATTTCTGTTAAACTGTGTGGGGTTGTTTTTTTTTTTTTTTTTTTTTTTTTTTTTTTTTTGCGATAGGCAGTTCCAGAGTTAACTGACACTTTTCAGATTTGCTGAGTAGTTGTTTCCTGTTCCTTAATTCTTAAATTATAGTTGCAGACTTGATTTTTTTTTCCCTTCCTTTTCTCTGTTAATCTGATCTTATTTTCTTCCTTTTTTCATGAAGATGACTTTAGTGGTCATAAACCTGCATATACCTCTGTGTATCATCCTCTTGCTGTTGATGGTAATTTCATTTTTAACATTTTGGCTTCACTGTAATGAGTGATATCTACTCAATGGCTGTACCTGATTTACCCTGAAATTTTTGTTTAGGGTTTCCTCTTCATTCAGCTCCTCCGAGTACCACCTCTTCATCAATTAATGCAGACTTTGATGCTGTTTTTGGTGGAAAATCTACTGCACCAGAGTACAGGCCTACTAATGGTAAAAATAAAATCTACTTTGTAACTAACTTAAGTTCTGCGGGATACAGTTGCCCAATCCTAGTTGCTGTTACAATGCTGAAATAACTAAATCCATTTGTAAGCTCAGTAACATAGAATTGATAATAGACAATCAGTTTAATTTCAGTTACTTGATTTTAAAATTTGCTCTTATTATACAGTAGAACACTAATCACTCTTTCTCTTTTTTTTCTGGGGGAATAAACTTCAAATATGGCCCATCGGGTATTTTTTTAATGGGTAAGACTGTTTTTCTTTCTCTAATGCATATGATGTCAGTGTTTTCTCTTGATACATGATAAGTTCCCCCTAAGTTTGTTGAGAAGCATTGTACTTGCTAATAAAATGCAAAGCTAGTTAGGTATGTGCTTTGCATAAAGAATCTTTTTGCTGGTTGACACTATTTTGCCTCAGAGTTTTTGTGAATGTATAGCAAAAGAACTCTTGTGAACATTCAAGTTACTAGCAGCATTGTGAACCTGCGACTATATTTCTTACAAGAAATACACTTTGAAATTGCCTTGAGTAACTTTTTTTTCCTGGAGTTTTAGTAGGGGGTTTAGCTTATTTTCAAAATCTCACCCTTTACTGCTGAAGTAAAATTGGACAATGTGCTCAAAAACAGTACTCTAGAAAGAATGAGAGGTTAAACTATGCTTCTGCGTAAGTCTTAAACTTCTGATATGTTGATCTTCCACATATGAATAGTCAAAAAAAACTACTAATAATGTTATATAAGGAAGATATCTCTCTGGCTTATGGTTTTCTTTCAATAGATGTGTTGTTCTGTTCTGATAACAGCTCTTTTTTTAAAATGTTCCTGCTTTTATGTCTTGGTTTAGCTTTCACTCTTCTAGATGAGGTATTGCAACCTACAGTACCACCACAAAGTCAAAGAAATGTTTTGGCCAGTCAGCAAAGTGGAAAAATTTTGGCAAATGATCTTGATTCTTCACTTGCTAATCTTGTGGGAAGTAAGTCAGGAGCTTTAAAATTTTATATTCAAATTTGCTACTGAAAAGATTCCTCCTGCTTCACAAAATTAAATATATTTGGCAATTTTATGTGAGTATTTATTTCCTTTCTCTCTCCAGATCTTGGCTTTGGAGGAACTCCACCCAAAAAGTAAGTGAATATATCTATGTAATAGTCTCAAATGGCTGATAACGTGTGATACATTTTACCGTCACTGACATAGCAAGATTCTTGGCTCTGGAAAGTAAGCTGCTGTCAAGGACAGTGTTGAAACAATGTGTTCTTATGGTCAGTTATCATAACACAGGCAAACTTAACATTTGAAGTAGTATGCTTTAGTCTTTCAGTTTCAGTATTTTTATTTAAATATTTCTGTGAGCAGCCATAAAAATATCTTGCAGTTATAGTAAAAACTCCTCTGAGTCATTATACTGTGAAATAGGTGATAGCGAGTTTACTTTTAATATCAAACAGAACTCCAGAATTTCATACTCATTGGAGTAGAGATGCAAGCAGTTATTGAAGTAGATCTTGAATATTTCTACCACCTATAGATTTCGACTACTACATCTATTACAGAGCATGCCTTTTTTTTTTTTTTTTTCTCCCCCCACCACCTCCTGTTTTCCAGCATGTCATTGATACTGTTTATCTGCTGGCCCTATATGAAAACTAATATAATTTTCGCTTTAGATCAGATATGCAGTGGACCCAGCCTACAGAGAAGAAACTTACTGGTGGAACAAACTGGCAAGCGAAAACAAGCACATCAACCACATGGAATCCTACTCCCTTATCCACTATTCCACATATGGTAAATTTTGTGCCGTTGAAATCATACTTGTTACTAGCAAATGCTATTTTTTCTTCATGAATTAAATTAAAAGGAGTAGCAAACGTTGATATGGACAAGACTGAGTAAAAACTGCTTGTAAAGCCATTTCACAAAGTGAATGAGATGGAAATATTAGTATACTCTTTCACAGTAAACATTTATTGTGATAGATCTGAATTCATGAGGGGTTTATTTTTTTGTTTTAAATGAAAGAAATGACTTCTGCCCCCAACACAAAGATGCAACTTAATAATTCTCAGAACCTATTTCAAGGCCAAGTGACTGAGGTTCCTTTTGGATTTTTGTTCCCTCTTCTGTTCATTACATGGAATGCTACTGCATTTTAACCCTTTCAAGCCACCTTACTTAAGAGCTCAGCCCTTCAAATTTCTGATCATGTTTACCAGTAACTTCATCACACTTTGGACACTGTACCAAATGCTGGGTAAAAGTTACGGAGTTAGTTAATCTGGAGAATGTGGTAGGTGTATGTGTGGGGTTTGTTTGTTTGTTTTTCCAAAGGTATGTTTGTAGGTAGCTGACTTGTATGCTATGCTTTGTAAGAGCTTTTCCCTTTTTTCCCCTCTTTCTGTTCACATACTTGTACAAATGCCACTCACTTCCACTTCCATCCAAACCAGCTGTATTTCAGAATGTTTACCTCAGCTTTATGTACAACTGTAGTAATTGTGATGTTTCATATGAATTTGGGACAGCTGTCTGACTTTTTTTTCCAGTGTGAATAATTTTATCCTAAATCTTTTTCTTTTTTCTCCAGATTATATGGGTATGCTCAGTCAAAGTTCACAAAGCTAAATTGGCTATTAAATCCAAATGTGAACTTGAAATGGAAGCCAAATAGATTTGGACTAGAGAGTATCTCAGTTTAGTACTTGTGTGATTTCAGATGGTAATTAGTGTGAGATTTGAGACCATAAAAATCTTTCTATCCCTTCTCAGCCATGTTATGTTAGAGTGCTGATATATTCTGCTTTGGGGATGGTGCTTCTCTGTGGGATACCGTAACATGTTCTTCACTGTATGTTTGGGTTACATGTGGTGGACTCCTTTCTCATGTTTGTCTCATGCTTTTTGACTTAAGCTTATGTTTGAGTGCTTTATATCAGTATCAGCATGCTTGTTTGCTGCGAAGTTGGACAATTAACAATGCAGAGAACTCCCTCTCTTAGGAGCTGTTTTTGAAGTCAGTGTCCCAGCAGATGGGATGGCCCAAGTGTCCTGATTTGGTGTGTGGCATTCAGAAACTGTAGTAATCATCAGTCTTGCATATAATCTTTCATAGTCAAGTACTTTAACCAGCACTTCCATGGTTTTTGTTTAATGTAATTAATTTAGCACTAATTAATAATGCATGGCAATATATGCTGAATCATCATTGTGTCTCTAAACATAACCTGGTATAAGTTAACCTATAATCTGGGTTAAAATGCTTTGTTTTTCTTGGTCTTTTTTTTTTTTTTTTTTTTTGGTGTTGTGATATATTGCAGACATCAGAATTGAGTTTGGTATGTGAGCCATATTTTGGCTGACTACATACTCATTGCTATTCATTTCTTGGGCTGACTAGTCACTGGATTTTTTTTCCCTGTACTGTTCTTGCACATAATAGGACGAAGGACTATTGCATGCCTTCCAAAAAGCTTCTTGTCCAAATGTTCATGAAAGCAATGTTCTCAAATATAGTTACATTTGGTTTTTTTTTTTTTTTTAAAAAAAAAGTTTTTTTTGTTGTAAATATGGTAAATTTTAGCCCTTAGGTAGGAAGCCTATCCAAGTTACCAGGCACAGTTGCTAATGTAACTGTCCTTCTACTGCCCTTTTTTTTTTTTTTTTTCTCCTCTCTGTCTTCTGCTTGAATTGTTCTAATTAGTGGCTTTAGTGTAGTTGTACATAATCGTGGTGCTGGACTTTAGTCTATCCCTTGGTTAGAATTTCAGTTTGACCTCTTAAATATTTTTCTGTCCTTACTCCTTTTGCCCTGCCAGAATGGAGTACATTATCCTGGATATGTAAGTCAATTTCTTGTAAATGTTAGCTGTTTAGACCATTAAAATAATTTGAATGGTTTTGTGCAAGTTATTAGTATGCATGAACTTATCCACGAGACGTTTTTTTCTTCCTTTATGATTGAAGGTACCCGCTCCTATTGCGTACCCAGTGACCACACCTCAAGTGCCTGTATACGGAATGGTAAGAAACTTGTCTCTCTTGTACTCCAGAAAACCTTTTTTAACTTCAGTCATGACAAGCATTACTATGTTTGAATTGTCCTGTAACTTGTGTATTGTTTCATAAACTTAATATTGTGTGAAATTGAATAGCACTTTTACATTGTACATCGGAAGACATTCTAAATTTTTATATAGCAAATTTACTTTAAAGCCATGATTTAAACAACTCTCTATATATGTTTTTTATTTGCTACTGTGCTTATAACCAAAAAAAAATGCAGCTTCTAGAATTAAGTGGACTTGTATATACTACTTGTCTAACACCTATTTCTGTTTTCCTTGTAGGTACCTCCTCAGATTGGAGCTGCTCCTTTGATGGCACCCCAGTCAATGATGTATACGCAGCCTGGTCTAAGGCCAACAAACCCTTTTGCACCTGTTTCTGGAACTCAGGTGAATTGTTCATTTCAATCTTAGGCTCATATTGGAACTTCAGTCTTAGAAGAAACCAAGTATCTTCTTTGATGGGTTATTAGCATCAATTTCTGCTTCTGAGAAAGTGAAGGGTTCCTCAGACAGGGGCAGCAGCAGGCTGTTGCAGGTGAGAAAATGATGAAAGCATGCAGAAGAAGCAAGGGAGAAAGCACAACTGGAGAGCAGCATATCAGAAACATAACACAACACTGGACTGATCTTAAGAAAATGGGAGCAGAGAATGAATGAACTTAAAGGCTTCTGATGGCAATATCTTGATACCTGGTTCAGTTATACTGGCTGTGGCAGTTGTAAAAGGTTTCTGGAGGGTTATGAAGTAAAGAGAGGTGCTCGAGACTCCTGTCACCTAGATATATCTAGATATGTTGTTCTTAGTGCTTTTTCAGATTTGTAGGGAGGCTGAGGGAGACTTCCATTTTATTTTGAGAAATCACTTGCATGGTTTCTCAGTGATTTAGAGGTATGAATCTGTGTGTTATGAAAGTGGCATTAACAATATGTAATCTCTACTTTACAGATACAGTTTATGTAAAGCCGCCAAAGCAACAAGGTGTGTGAACAACCAAATACTGGTAAAAAAAAAGAAAAGACTGAAGTTTCATTTTTCCCATGGTGTATTTTTGAACAGGGCAACTGTTTCTTCCCTGTATAATGTAATATTAATTTGAATTGCAATGCTTTAGAGATTCTTGTTTATAACAGTCATTTGTGGTATGAAATCATGTTTGTTCACTGGTTTTTAGACTGTTCAGTAGGAAACTGTAATCTTTGAGGTCAACTCAGCTTTGAAGATGAGAATCCAACTTGCACCTTCTGAGAAGAGGGTTATGTGATTGCTTTGCAATCTTATTCATCAGTGGATTGCCTGTAGGAAGTTAACTGAGAATGTCATAAATCCTATTTATTTTTCTCCATAAATTCTGTGGCTGTTTTAACCAAGACACAACTTAAATGAAGTCGAGCAATAAAATTTCCATATGCTCTAATAAATACTCTGATAGAGTAATGCTTGCATTATCATAAAGCCAATATTGTATGAAATCAGACAGCTTTTTTCACATTAGCATAGCTTATAATAATTCATAAACTCTATAATGTGAGTTTTAAATGCTGTGAATGAACAAGAAATATATGTGTATATTTTATATATATATATATATGATGAAAATAATAAATTGCTCCATTGGCATAATGTCAGTGTTAAATGGCTAATTGAAAGGCCACGCTCTGGCATGGGTTAAAGGTCTTGTCTCAAGAGCAGGGAAAGAAGTATGTAGTGACTTTGTTACAGTGAAAGTGTGCACCCCAACAGCAGCAGACTGGAGCCATTAGAAAATCTTGTTGCTAGCTGCAAAAGAGCTAAGAGATGTGACTTCTTTTAAAGTTCATTTCATTAGTTCAGAAAAAGCAAGCTTTGCAATAGTGGTGACGTTCCAGAACTAGCAGCTGCATTAAAGTTGTCCCAGACATAGGGATTAGCTTGTACTTCTTTTCTGAAACAAGAACCTATTTGCAAACCACAATTATTTTAAATGTGTAAATATGTGCAAACTTCTAAATATTTTTCTTTAATGCTACAGTATGTTTTCTTTCTTCTGTAGTATTTTTAAGATGATTATGCTGTAAGAAGAAATCCAGAGTTTTTTTGAGAGGAAAAACTTGTGAATCAACTAATCTGTGAAGTATGCTGGTGGGTTAGAGACACAGGCTTTTGATGCATCTGTCATATTAAACAATCTTCTTCCAAAATTTAGGTTGGTTATGAAAATGCCTTACCTTGTATCTTTAAAACCCCAATAAAATGTGATAGCACTTAAAGAAAAGTTAATAATGAGTAAATGGAATCAGAAACTTTTCTCCAGCTTGGTGGCAGAATGCAATAAAAAGCTCTCCAGTAATGTGGCTTCCATGGATGATTAACATTAGAATTGGGATTTTCAAAAACAAAATATATTTTACTGTTATGGACCTCCAGACTAGTATGGCTTTTATCTTTTGGTAGTGCTATATTTGTAAGGCATCTCTGAATCTTACTACAAATGCAGAGGCCTGAAAACCTTGTCCGATAGAGAACTTCCAAAGTACAGTGGAAACATCCCTCATTTTCTAAACTTTGTCCAAAGATTGTAAAAGAAGTATTTCTTAATAGTGCTACAAAAATATTTTTGTCAAGTGAAACAGTTTAACTCCAACCCTTGGTATTGATAATGACTAACCTTTGGGAAGCTTAACCTTGAAGAATTTCTAAGCTCTGAAACTCTGAATGTGTACTGATGAAGAGTAAGAATGATAAACAGCAATTTAACATCAAAATTTGAATTATAAGGGCTTAAAGCTTTAACCACCTTTCCTGGTTTGAAAAATTGTACAATTTTAAGCCAATGAATTCTCTGGTGCCTGTAGCTACCCTCTTTGTGATGAGGGAATGGTTCCCATTTGGAATTGGGTCATTGTTCCTCTGTGGGTGGTGGTGGTGGCATTTTATTTAGGAAATAATTAATTTCATTGATTTATTCTACATTGAAGAATCTTGAATTCCAGTTACATCAGCATGTACAGTAATAAGTATCTGAGCATTGATGTCATAGCTGAGCACTACAACCAGGCAGTGTCTGGCACAGTGAACTGATTTATGTTTTTTCTCCATTGTATAAGCCATGATCAGTTATTTTTAATATGCGAACAAGTACTTGGCAAGCTGTGTCTGTGTGTATATACATACACACACATACAATAATTGCAACTCTTTTTACAGTGCATTCTGAAGATCTGGAATGTACTTTACCTCACTCAGAAATGGATTTGGAACCCAGTACTGTTTGCACTACTTCTAATTTGCTCTGGATTTTTTGAATACTTTGGTATGCTTTCTTGTAGCAAAGCTGTCTGATACCATTTTATTTAGTATTAAGTAAAGGAGAAACAGCCACAAAGTATGTAATAAGGACCTTATAAACGATATTTAGTCTCATTTAGGGTGTTTGACATGTTCAAACACAGCTCTTACAGATTTATCCTTATGAAGAAAAGATTGCTCAACGCTTCTGTCCTCGCAGGAATGTGCAGGACTGCTTCGTATCAGCCTCTTCCTTGTGGGCATGCTGGAATGCACAACATGGACAAGTGCTACGTTTTAAACCACAACATAGTTCACTTGCTTAGAAATAAATGCAAGGACTTGGGTATTGTCAAGGCTCTTATGGCTCAGAATTTGCTCTCCAAAAGAGCACGTTGCAGGTAAAGGTTGTTCTGGAGGGTAACTGCCATAAGTGCTACAGCTGTAAATAGCTGTGATATGTGAAACGGGAAAAGCCGTATGTACACGTGACTTTCCTTTTGCTCACAAATTCCTTTGGTCAGGGCCCTGCTCTGAGGGCTTCAGGAAGCTGATAACGGAGCCGGGAGTCCCTGCGTGTGTGAGCAGGCCATGTCCTTTGCAGTGTTTAAGCCTAGCTTGGGATTTAGCACTGCGGGGGCGGCGCTCTCATGGGGTATGCAAGAGGATATGTAACCTGTAGGGATGTGTCAGGAGGGATGAGTGCGTGAAGTCTGTTGGACTTGAAAGTTTACTTCTTTTTAAATAACTGGGCTTTTCTAATATTCTTTAAATATAGTTTGACTTTGCCTCCAAGAAGTTACTGAATTCAATTTTTTAAATTTCAGAGAAATTATGTACTAGAGAAATCTCAGTTCTGTGCGCATAGTGGTGGAATCCTTGTAGGTATAAATAGCAAATGAACTTTTGTAAAACATTGAATAACTTCTGACTACAACATTGAATACAGGGTGTATCCACATCTGGGTTTTTTTTGTTGTATGGCAGGGAGGGTGGGTTATAATTAGAATAGCATGCACTGTGGATCGGTGCTTAATTTGTACATAAAAGGGAAAACTTTTGTTTGGGGTAGTTTGTATTGTAAGGACAACATCTAAAGGCACTGTGTATCAGTCATTTATTTCTGTTTTAAAGATTTTATTTTTGAGCAATGGAAACTGTACATGTTATCATTTATACATTTACTGGTAGCTAGGAATGTAGAGAAACTACATTGCTATTACTCTGCAGATGTATTTGATCTGTCATTGCTGAGTACATTGCTGCATCACTACTTTATGCAGATTCTCATGAGCATTTATTTAAAGAGGTTGTAGTGATTGGTACAGTTGCAATGCCAATTGTAACATCAGATCTTTCAGTATATCTGAAGTGTGTGTAGCCTTGTGATTATGTTTATCCTTTACTGAATGTTTGGCTGGAATCTCATCTTAGAGCAAAGACAAAAATAGGTGCTGGAACAGATTTTCCCCAACCCACACTTTATTTATTTAATAGTTCTTGTTTTGTATGTTATGTTTTTCCCCATAACAGGTTTTGTGCCTTTATTGGATATTTATTTAAAGGGAGCTACACAAACAGAGGTTGTTCAAGCTGTTCTACAGGTATATTCCTCTGTGGCTGTTCCTTCACATGAGCTCCTTCATTTTATAAGTATTTAGAATGCATGAAAAATTCTCTAGCCACAAACTGAAAAAAGAGGGTTTCCATAGGGGAAAAAGAAAAGCCAAAGCATAAAACTGGCTGTGTTGACATTCTACCTTCACACTTTGTTAATATACAAACTCTTTTTTTCTTTTTTTTAAGGCTGTTGCTCATAATCAGTCAATTGAAAGAAGTTTTGGAAAAAAAAATAAACTTTGGCACATTTAGGGTGTGCGTGGTCTTTTTTGTGTGTCCTCTGAGGCCTGGCTGCCATCGTGCTCGCAGGGGCTGGGTTGGGATGTGCTGGCTGTGCTGCAGGTAACTGCAGGAGGGTGATACCCGAGGGGGACTGTCATGATAGCTGCCCTTGATCAGCGGCAAACAACTCCAGTGTCCCTGTGAGAAGCAGCACTTTGTGTCCCTAAGCGGCGTGGGGCTGGGGAGGGGGAAGGAAGACACTGCTTCTCTGAGAGGTGAGAAGGGGGAAGAGGAAGGTGCTTCCCGCAGCCCCAGGGTAAACCAACTTAGCACTGATCAGTGCTAAAAGGGATTTCTCAGGGTTTTTGTGCTCTTCACTACCCTTTAGTCAGAGATTGCATGTGTTGTGTAAATGTGTCAAGATGCAAAATCCACACCATGGAAACCAGCTGTGGCATGTTTAGTGCTTGCAGCAGCATCAGGACTTTCTGTGTTTTTAAACCCTTGAGGCCCTGCTCTTGTGGTGTGACTGTAGGCGTTGCGAGGGTCTATGACTGTTTGCCTGCATTGGACATCATGGCTTAAATCAGCTTCTTTCAGCTGAGCGTCGGAGGCTGCAGGCACCCTCTCCTGCAGGTCTTTTTAAATTAAGAACATCGCTTGTCAAAGCTTCTGGAAGAGGCGTTGTTTTTGTTTGTTTGTTTTCGGTGGTTTTTGGGTTTGGTGTTTTCCCCCCCTTTCCCTGTCCACGGGCCCGTAGCCCCGTTCCCGGTCTCTCTCTCCGCTGTTGCTGCCCCGCGGGCCGTGCTGCTGCGAGCCGCGCGCCGGCCGGCGCAGCGCCCTCCCCAGCTCGCTCCG